AATGAGGCGTTTCAAAAACCTCTGGAATGCAAAGTTACAAATCGGTAGGTACTGCCCGTCACCTAGCAACCCCAGCCAAGCCCAGCCCGTTCCCTAGCAACCCCAGCAGAGTTCCGCCCGTCACCTAGCAACCCAATCTGAGCACCAATACGTTTGGTCAAACTGGTTTTGCCACTTTATGTGCTGTACAGTGGCTGTTTTGTATAGTCCACTGACGACTTAAAAGTCTGTTATATTCATTCCTGAATCACTATGATATTTTAACCTAATTTTACAATATAACTCGTGTTTAATTTTTTTTTTTTTCTGTTTTCAGACTCTTGTAAGAAAGTGCCTCAATGCTGGTTTAAATAACCCCAAATTAGTCATATACAGTGTTGCTTCTGTTGATCAGCCTGTGGGAGCCACATACGTGACAGTTTACTTAGAGCTTTGATGTTTAAGGAGAGAATAATTATGCCCATTAAAGGGGCTTTTATACAGACAGTGTGCAGAGCGTCGGCATGCTCTGCACACTCTGACCGGGCATCAAACCACACTGCAGCTGAACGCCATCCGGACCCGAGGGTCCCAAAGTTGGAGCCAGGACCCCTTTATAGGTCAAAACCACCAACAAAGGTGGGGTTGATATCAACTACCGCAATCAAATGAACTGCAAATAAACCTGAAAACATAAAAGCAGTTGTCAGAAATTGTTAAAAAAAATAATGTTACGCAATGGTGTTCGGTGAGTTTGTGGCTTTTACTTGACTTTTCAGTCATTCCTGTATGGATGAAGCACCAGTTGGGTGGGAGGCTGAAAAAGGTCTGTGTGATGCTTATTATATTTATCATGTCTGGTTAGCATCAGTGAAGTGCTTTTCAACGCAACGCTGAACACTTGATATTTACCCTTACACTGCAGCAAATGCAGAGCAGGTAGTTGAATATAGTGACATTTCTCCAGTCATGTAACATGGATTACTTAACAGTCAGTTCTGTAAGGTCTTTCAGGGCGCATCGTTTTAGGAAAACTAGCAAGAAAAGGTCTAGTGCAGGACAGCGATGCTCCTTCTACACAAATATCCCCCTACTGGTGTAAAGGCGACACTACAGTCTTTGTTGTTTGTCATCTTGGCTATCCACAAAAACAGCCCCGTCATCATTAACTCTAAAACCTGGTAAAATAATCTTTAAAGTTTCACCTCTTATACATGTGGTGAGATGAACTCAGATTTTTAAGAACATTTTCTAAATCTGAGATTTGAGAAAATAAAATACTGTGTTCAAAATCGTTTTCCGACTCTGACATTTGCAAACAATACTTTCTAAATGTCTGATTTCAGGAGAATACTTTCTATGTCCAAGATTTTTAGAGATCCTTTCTAAATTTTGAGATTCTTAAATCTGAGATTTTTTTTAAAAAAGTAACTTTGTAAATCCGCAAGTTTTAGTAGTAGTGTCTAAATCTGAGATTTTTTACATTAATATTTTCTAAATATAAAATGTTAAAAACTTCTAAATCTCTGATTTTAAAAATGAAAAGAAAGGCATTTTCAAATCTAAGAAATTTGGAAAAACTACATTTCTGATTCTTCAGTGAACGTTTGGGAATATTTTTATCACAATATTCCTAAACGATGCTTTCTGTATTGTTTTTAAGAAAATCGTACAACAGAACATGTAGACCTGAAATGCACCAACTAATTAGATCAGAATAAGCCAGTTCTGTGATTTTTATTTTTTATTTTTACTTTTTTTATGATTGCTCCTAATAGTGATTGGCAGATCCAAAAATTAAAATCAGTTTTCCTTTGTTTTTGTTTGTTAAATGCATCAAACATTCATATATATATATATATAAAATGTTCATTTTGTTTATTTCATGTTGGACTGAAAAGTACGTCCTTTGTTACAATTTGTTTATCTTAGATATCAACCCGAAAACCTTTTTTTTGCATTATTATAAGAAAGAAGACAGTAATAACATTAAGGTACGGAGCACACCTGAACATCATGGCTCCCTTTTGAAGCTAAAGGAGGAGAAGGAAAAGAAAACCACTGGTTCTGGTTGAGTCCGTAGAACAGCAGCTGATCTGCTGTTGGTAACAACAATGATGCTGTTTTTAGCGTCTGCTGTGCATCTTGTTTTGTTTCACTCTTGTGTCAAGAAGTCTGCCAATCGTCACCAGCCGTACACGTTCTGAATGTTTCTCTTTTAGCGTTTTAAAGTGCTTTTTCTACCTCACTGCCACCTAGTGGCGTGGCATGGGTATTTCAGCTCTTTTTGTTAGAATTTGGAAATGAAACTGTGATACTAAATGCATATTTTCGAGTTGCACACCGTTTCGTACCGCTAACATGTTGGTTCCGATCCGTCAGGATTACGCTGCAAACCTCCAAGTCAACACCCAGCAAGTTTTCAATAGTTTATTCAGCTGTCCGGAAATCTCCTTTTGCCACTCTAATAAATATTATCTTCCAGCTGGCAGATACTCAGAGTTATTTTGGTTTGATCGGGGGTCATCACCTCTCATATTTCATAAGTCAGCCTTCTCATATGCTGATCAAAATCGCAATTAAAGGAAACGGGGCGGAATATAAAATCTTCCGAGATTTTAATACTTTTTACTATCGTTATTTACCCCTTTAATTTATTAGAAATGCCTGTAACTTCCAAGGAAATAAGCTGATGATGAAAGTGTGTCAGTAAAACACATTCAGTTCAGTGTGTTTGGACTCTTAAGTTAAGTTTTCTTCGAATGACAATCACTCAGAAATTAGTGTCCAGACTGATTTTCCAAAGATTTTTGACCAGCTGTCATTTGTACTTTGCAGAAAAAAGGCCCAACAAGTGTGTTTGAGTTTAGAGAGCGTTCACACTGCGTCTCTTCGGCATCTCAGGGGCCCTAGCTTGTAGAGATTGTGCTCCTCTATGGAGTCCAAAGCCTAGAGGCCCCGGCCCCGAGCTGTAGTCGCGCAGCAGGTGCTCATAGGAGGCCAGATCGGGGCCGTGAGGATAGATCTTGATTTGAGGAAAAGCCATTAGTCACTTATTGTTGTAAGACATTTTTTCATCCCCTCTAAGAACATCCACCGTAATGTGACTTTAAAAGGAAGGGAAACGGCTCTGTTTATCCTCCTCCTTAAACATTTAGGCCGTTAGAGTGCATATCTGTGGCTGCAGAGAGATTAGCATGGGATCCAGGAAGCAAGCGTGCAACTTCATTAAATATGTAATCCAACATGCGCCCGTGTGGAAGTTCAAATTACTGCAGCTTAGATTGCAAATATTTTCTGTCAGCAAGCGCACTGTGACGCATATGAAGCGCTGGTGCGATTACATCCGATCTCACCTTTGGGAGCGATAGTTGTTAACTGCACAGTATTTGTTACTCACTTCTCAGACATCCTTGAGTTACGAGCTGGACCCGAGTGACACCAGGGACATTTTTGTCACACTTTGACATATTTTATTGGAGTTTTATGTGATAGGGTAGCACAAAGCGGCAAAGTGATGCATGCTTTTTTAAATGTGTTTGCAAGTAAAACCTGAAAAGGATTGCATGTGTTTATATTCACCCCGTTTAACGCTGAGACTGCTTAATAAAACCCAAAGTGCTTTCAGAAGTCACCTAATTAGTAGAGTCCCTGTGTGTGTAATTTAATCTCGGTATCAACCCACCTGTTCTCTGCCGGCCTAAGCAGGATGTGGCCGTGCAGCTAAGCCAGATCTTTACAACCCAAAGAGCCGTTTTCCCTTCAGTCCAGCTCAGTAAAACTCACTTAGAGCGCCAAATGTGGCATAAACGTCCAGGTTTTGATGAATATCTGCTGTAGGAATCGTGTTATTTAATAAAAATTACCATTTTATTTACATTTTTAGGTTTTAAAATGAAGAAAAACTGCTAAATTATGCAAAAAAGATGATAAATACATGTTTTGTGTAAAAACATGACAAAAATAACAAGAAAAAGACATTAAAAATATTACTGCTAGATTTATTGGTAGTGAAGATAATTATTCCATAAAAAACAAACTGTTCAAACAAAATTCAAAACTTGGAGTATTTATTAAATTATTTATTTACTTTTGAATGAAAAGTTTTGGTTTATTTATTGCTCTACAAAAAAAAAATACCAATTATGAAATGCATAAAAAATAAAAGTTGGCGCTAAACATATTCCACAAACTAAGACCAAGGCTTTTCCAAAATATTTGTGGCTATAACTGCAGTAAAAGGTAGCTTTATTTATTTACATGGCAGTCCTTATATTTTTATAAATAAGAAAAATAATATCATGAATCATTTTCTTTTTACTTTTCAGTTATAATCCACTTCTAAAACATTTTAGCACATTTTAGTTTTTGGTTCTTTTAAATGTGAAAAGCTTAAAAAGGAATGAATACTTTAGCATTTATTTATCAGTCATGAAGTTTACTTGTCAGTCACATTTCAATTAAAATATAAATTTAATGACTTTAAAACATTAAAACAACAGAAAAAGTGACTGCGTTTCTTGTCTGCTGCCGTTACCAAAGTGCATTCGGCCTCTCGGCCGTTTCGGCTGCATCTGTTGCTTTAAAAGTTGTGCAGTCGATGTGCAGCGGCGTCTTTTAAAAGCTCTTATTACTGACAGTAATGGACTGCCGAGGATTTGATTAGTCTTAATTTTTTACGATGCCATCAGTGCTCTCAGGAGTTGAATTAAATTGAACTCCTTGGACCCAGCAGCAGGTCTGCATCTGTCCATTACAAACGCAGCAAAGCGCTGCGCACACATGAAAGCCATTGCGTGTTGTTTAGGCTTCGCCCTCAGGCGAGCGGCTTTTTATGCAAGTAAAACAACAGATGTCTCGGCTCTCTGATTCACTGTCACAAGTGCCATCTCATTAGCTGCGAATATTGCAGAGCAAACTAGCAAATCTGCGGCTCTGTCATAAATATTGAAAACGAAATGAGTCACGGATCACAGCGGCGGTGGCGGCGTGCTAAGTCGTCTCCGAGGGCGAGCTGAAAGCGCGGCGGTGACCTCCTGCGGGGAGTCGAACCGCGGGGAAGATGGAGCGTACCTGCTAATCAAACGGCTTAAATGTCGCTCCTCATCGACGCCGGTTTATCCTCACCAGGCTTTTGTTCGATGAAATCCATGACTCTGTAAATACGTTATGAGAGGATATCAGGTGTAATTATTATTCTTTGTTCTGTTTTTCTGGCCCTCCTCTTCCTCCTCCTCCTCCTCTTCCTCCACTGCAGCTGTCCCCTTCCCCCCTAGTCACCGGCTGACGGCTAAAGAGGTGTTTGACAGCGACGGGAAGCCCAAAGTGGATGTGCTGAAAGCTCACCTAACCAAAGAGGGGCGTGTGGACGAGTCGGTGGCCCTCAGGCTCATAGGAGAGGGCGCCGCCATCCTGCGCTCGGAGAAGAACCTGCTGGACATCGAGGCCCCTGTGACAGGTCAGGAAAACACCCCAAATGAGCCCCCCGAATAAATAAACACCAAATCATGAAGCCTGATGAGAAAATATTAGGCCCGAGCAGCTAAGCGCTGCGAAGGCCTATTGAAATTGTGCTGTAAATTATTATTATGCTTTTGTAAAGTAAATTGGCTTTTTGGAGGCTTTATCATATTCAGAAACTCACCAAACTTGGTGGGCGCATAGAGCCCGCGTGAAATTTATGTATTTTAAGGTCGACGCAAAAATCGCAAAAGAAACGGCTCAACGGCGCCACGTAGCAACCTTCAAAAGACCCTTTTCTATTCACCTATTCCTATTCCTATCAACATGAAACTGTGTCCAGAGACAGAAGACATGTTGGTGTGTTGTGGATTCCAACCCCGTTTGTTTTCGATGGAGTAGGTGGGCGTGGCGAAGTGAGCCATAACGCCGTCTCCATACGTTTGGCTGTGATTTCCATAGTTTCAAGCCGATCTGCACCAAACTCACTAGGATGGATCCTTATTGGCCCCCCGACAGAAATCTATAAACATATTTGGTGGGCGTGGCCTAATTTCTCTACAGCGCCACCTAGAATTTTTTAAATGATCAGCCCCACGCCATGCTTTAACCTAGAATTGTGAAACTTGGTACACATGTGTATCCTGTCAGGATGTACAAAAAAGTCTCTGGGAGCCATGGTCCAAAGCCAACAGAAAGTCGGCCATTTTGGATCACATCCGCCATTTCCTGTTTTTCAATGATTTCGTATCTGATCTATCTCCTCCTACAGCTTTCGAGATACAGACTTCAAACTCAGTCAGCAGAGAGTTGAGACATTAAAGGTCCAAAGTTATCACAGGAATTTTTGTATGTCAAAGCATGTGGGCGTGGCTAAGTCCCAAACTTTGACTATTCGCCATGAAACATGAATGTGAAATAACTTCCAAATGCCAGGTCACAGCTGCATCAGACTTTCTATGTCTCATTATAGACCAGCCCTCATCACAGTTAGGTGGTCGATTGATGACATCACCTTAGCCCCGCCCACTTCCGACAGGAAGTCACCTCTTTTTTCTACTGTATGTCTTACTTTTACTGTGTTATTCATGTGGAATTAATCCTCTGCAGACTGACATAAAATGACCTGATGATGAACTCTGTCAATGCTGTCTGACCCGTGGGGGCGTGGCCAAATGGCAGTCCCTCGCCATATGTATACGATTGTCTCTAAATCACACACGCACCTTCCGATTGGCACCAAACTGGATACGTATGATCTTTGTTCAACGCTAAAGAGCCCAACAGCACTGAATTGTAATTTGACTCCACTGCGCCCCCTAGGTCATTCCATCAGCTATATCTCCTCGCTACATTGGCCGATCTGCACCAGATTTTTGGTGTGTTGTCAAGGAGCGATGCCGAACTCATTGGTGTCTGGGATGGCCTGGCGGACGCGCGCTTCAACTGCGCGAGAGCATCAGCGGTGGCAGGCAGGCGGCGGTGCTGGATCCCCTGCGGTGGCTATAGGCCGGAGCGGCGCTTGGCTGCGAGGGCCGCTCGAGGCTGCTTGCAGCTTTAATTTAATTTACTTTTATAAATAAGTGATTTTTCCTTTTACCTTCTCTGCCATGAACTGCACATGCAACATTTTAGTTAAAGTCATTTTTTCAGGTGAGGGGATCTGTAAGTCATTGTTGAACACATGAAAATGTTTTTAGGCTTGTTTTATTAAAACAGGGATGTCCAAAGTGTGACCCAGGGGCCATTTGCAGGCCTCTGGATTATTTTTTCCAGCCCCTCAGTGTGCAATTCAAGAATGGAGCGAATCTGTGATTAATTCCTAACCCTTCTGGGCCGAATGTGTCGACGGCGATCCACCCAGATTTGCAGTACCGTAATTACGCCACTCTTTGCTCTATCTGAAAAATCCCAACAGTTTCAGAAAGGGGAGATGTTGCACTTTCCAGCCAATATCGAGTTATTACGGTAATTTCACTCCCACCGTAGCAGGAAGTGAAATTAATCTTAAAAGACGGTAAATTACAACAATAACTTGCTAGATATTGAAAGTTCCAGTTGTTACGGATAAATGGGCAAATATATATTTACTCACAGGACATTTAAAGAACTTTGTGCAATTAAAGTGAGCAAAAATATACAGGCGGAGATTTGAAACTTAAGGCTTAAAGGGCTAAAGGGGCAGCGTTATGTATTTTCAAGGCACATAGTGCCACTTTATAGCAGAATCAACCTTCATTTGTTATAAAAAAATGCCACAGATGACACTTTGGCCAACTCTGGTGTAAATGAATACTAAAATAAAAAGACGCTTCCATACCTGCTATGGGTTGTGTTGTTGCTGTTTTAGTTGGTACCAGTTCAGTCACATCACGGTGCCGTGCAGAAGTAATTTTTTCAGCGTATTTACTTTTTGTCAGCCATGTGTTTTATTGGGATTTTAAGCAACGCAGAGCTGTGCGTAATTGTGAAGTAGAAGGAAAATGATTCATGTTTTTCCATAATGTGCAGCTCTACCAATAAGTTGTGTTTAATTAGTTTCATAGGTATCGGCGTAAACAGGACAAATACACACTGTGCTTTTTAGTGTGTCATTTATAAAAATGTTGGAAATTGCGCATTGTTTTTCCTCCCACGTCACATGTACACAGTACCTGTGTGTTGGACTCACGTGACAAAACGTGGAAAAAGTATGAATACTTTCGTAAGGCGTCGTGGATCACTGTATCGCCCTGTAAAAACTGTTTTATTCTGATATTCAGTCAGGAAAAGTAACTGCAGTTTCGTGTGTTTGGCAATTTTAGTTTACCGGCTGTTTTATTTTCATTTTCAGCTCTCCGTTCTCAGTTTCAGTTTTCCATTTGGATAGCTTTCTGCTTGCTTACAGTGATTGCCAGTGATTTAGATTGTTGACTGAAGCTGTTTTCACATCAGAAAATATCTGGATAATGTGCAGAGAAATTCGCTTTGAACTTTTTTTTTTCTCCCCCATCTCGCAGTCTCTGCTCACAGATGCACTTCGCAGCTGGAGATTTTCCCCATGAGCTGCTTTTTCTGTGAGAAATGCAGCAAAGTGACGCTTTTATAAAGGGCACAATAGGACACGATTAGGGCTGTGGACCACAATGTTGTGTTTACAACCAATTTTTTCTTTTCTTTTGTGTTTGAAGATATCGAACGAGGATATACACAGGTCTGGATGTAATCACTCAAAAATGCTCCACAAGATTAGATTTGATTAAAGCAGCGGTAAATTATGACCTTCTTATCTTGTAGCTGATGTGTGACTTCGGAAGTTACAAAATGTTTACCCATATTAGCTTTTTTTTTTTTTTTTTTTTTTTTTTTTTTTTTTTTTTTGCTTTGTTTTTCTTGTTTTTGAAAAAAAAATCACAAATATCCATAACTAGCTAGCTCTAAGTGCTTTGTATCCTAATTATGGCCCTAACGCCAAACATAGGCTGTGTAATTAGCCATAGCGGGCTTGTAGTTGAAGCACAGATGTTTTCTTCAGTTTCACATCAGAATATCTGAAGTAATTACATTTTTATTAAAACGCTCACTTCTTATTGGCTTAGAAATCTTTTCAAAATGTTTTTTTTTGTATTATGTACTGAAAATCAAATTTTCAAACATCATTGATGATGGCGACTAAAACATTTATTCATTTAAACTGTTGGTACCAACTCAAATCTCAAAAATGTCGCCGACTCAAATCAGGTTTCTTCAGAGAGTTGCTGTGGGAGGAAACGAGCTCCTGTAGCAGTCAGTCTTGCAACAAATTTAAAGAGGCCTCTGCCTGAAGCCTGTTACTGTATGGTAGTTTCATGATTGCTATGACATGCTAACAGCTCATTTTCTATTCCACACTAACATTTCCTGGATCAGTTGTTGGCAAGGTTTGCTAATCCACCTCATTTGCTTTTGTCGCTCCACTTTAATTGCCGATAGGGTCAGAACATCTGGTAAAGACACGGAGTGGGGGATGTGATCCTTAACCGTTCTGATCGATGGAGGAGATGGATTGACCTTCGCCCTCCTCTCTCTGCTCTTTGGTGCCGCTTCGCATCCAGTCCTCAACCTCGTCTGAGACTCGGGGTCGTAGTTCAGCTGTTATCTGAGCTGAACTATCAGAAATCAGAGTATTTGTTGTATTTCTGCAACCGTTTTTTATGTAGCACATTAATGGAAAGTTAAGTGGAAGAAAAAACTATGGCAGAAATAAAAAAGAAATACTCTGATGTCTGAAGATCTAACTGTAATGTTCTTAGCTTCTGAAATGACTAACAAGCAAGATCCTCAGAAATCAAGTATTGTTCTATTTCTGCCACAGTTTTTTCTTCCACTCAACTTTCCATT